CCACCTACGTTGCACGGCTCTGCGACGCCAGGACATCGTAAGCGAAGTTGAGCGCTGCTGCAAGACGGAAGCTAGGCTTGCAACACACAGCCACGCCACTACGCCCATCGAGCATCAGAGTCAGTTACTGCAACATAATGTAATCTGGATAAGCACTCATAATATGTCTTATCAGAACTGACATACTGTATATACACACGCATTTACTAGCTGATTTAGTTTTTTCCGTAGCATCACCAAGCCTTGGAGACTTCCAGCTAAGGGCTCCCAGCTGTCACCGGAGATGGCGCAAAAAGCAGCCGATGCGGGGGGCTATCGTTGGCCCCTGAGTGTCCTCTGCCCTGTCCGACTCAGCACACTTGGTATACTGTTCTATACTGCGCTATTCCATACTATACCACACTATACTCTACCATACTAATTATGTGGTAATGTGGTGTTCTATACTGTACTAAACTGCACTATACTATATCACTTATTTCACACTCGCCCACGCGACCATGTGATGCACCAAGCTGTCCTCATCCCTGAAACAATGCAGCCTGCAACCGACAGATTTACCACAAGAGTTGGGAGACCGACACGTGAGTGGATCACTGAAGTTTGGAATAAGGCTTTTGAAGTATTGGACGGTTACCCTGAAGTAGTCAGGCTTGCATGTGACCCCGTTGTCTGGCGACGTTCGGTGTGCCGATCGGTGCTTGTCCACCCGACCGACCGACCGACCGACCGATACTATGCAATACTGGGCCACAGCATGCTCTGTTATGTTATGGTATATCATACTGTTCAAAAATCTACTAGACTAGACTATACTAGACCACAGCATACTATCCAATCTTTTAGTATGCTAGACTGTTCTATACTATACTATACTTTAGTAGACTTCACTTTTCTGTACTATCTCTATCATAAAGATCCTGCTTGCATGATACTGTACTATACGGTAATGGGTGCCCTTTTTCTGTGCTCTACTATACAAGAATCATGCTATACCGTACTGTACTGTACTTTACTATACCACACTTTGCTATACTGCACTTTACTACACAATAGTCTACTTTATTCTGCTACACTGCATTGCTATATATGGTATTGTACCATAGTATATGAAATCAGTAGAAGCGGAGGTTTGGTGCCTATGTCGCTCATCACTTCGGCCTTGCACACGCTGTCATCGAGCTGCAAGGCAGTGGTGGCCCAAAGGGATGAGTTTGGAACTTGCTGATGCCAGGCCACAGTGATCTTCGACTGCTGCCAGTCCTCCGTGCTTCCGCTCCTCCGTCCATCAGATCACGTGGGTCAGGGCGTGGCTCCGGGTCCAGGGCAGATGCCTCAAGCGGCAACTTGCGGCGTACACGGCTGTGCATCTCACTCTGACACTTGAAAGCCGAAGGCCTCCGCGCTTCAAGAAGCTCAAGCCTCCAAGCGAGCAGGTGACGGAAATCTCCTGCAAGCCGACTGGAGCCTGTAATTGTGGCAAGTTGCAAGGTTGCAGCTCCAATGCCCGACGTGTCCAGGCAGCGATTGCCCCGACCCTACCGCCATGCAAGAGTTGATGGAGCCTTCCTTCCTGGCTGTTGCCTTCCCGATGCCTTGAGGTTGGGACTTCCAGCCCTGAGCCAGAGCTCGCCCCGGCCCCGTCCACGACAGAAGGCTTTTCGAAAGCCAGTGTCTTCAAAAAGAGCTGCTCCAGGCATCCGGCGACTTCTCCCTCTTCAATCAAGGAGGGTTTAGGGTTAAGGAACCCTAAACCCCAGGAGGGTTTAGGCCATTTGGGACCCTAAACTTTTAAACCCTGGAACCCTCAACCCTGCTCTTCAATCCAGGAGGAGTCGCTGGCTTCACCCGCAGGGTCTCCTCCGGGCATTCTTAAGGCCGGCTCACTCTTGGCTTCGTGTCTGTGTATATCGCATGCTGCGTAGAGTCCAGTATGGTATAAGATATGGTATAGTATATGGTATAATATGGTATAATATGGTATAGTATGGTACGGTATGGTATAGAATATGGTATAGTATGGTATAGCATAACATGGCAGAGTATGTTCACGAGCATCAGGCTCGCAGCCAAGGGCACTTTTTCTCTCCAGCGGCCAAGGCTACCTACGCCGCCGACACCTAGGGGCCTTCAAAAATCCCTACATTATTTTGGGGGTGCCTTATACTAGGTAGGCCTTGGGGACTGGTGCACAAGTACTTCACAGGGTGAGATGCAGAAATCGTTCAAACAGAATCCGTAGGGGCAGTGAGTAGCCGAAAGCCAAGGCCCCAGAATCAAAGACGGGTGGAACACATGTCACTCACTGAATGAACATCGCCGAAAATCACATACCGACTACGGCTGCTAGAGGGCAGATATTATTATTATTAATAATATGAATACCATTATGATTATTATCATTATTCTTATTATTATTCTTACTCTTACTCTTACTCTTATTCTTATTCATTATTATTCTTACTCTTACTCTTACTCTTACTCTTATTTTTATTCTTATTCTTATTCTTATTCTTATTGGACTGATTGTGCTCGCCTTTTCGCTCCGACTTGTGGCCGTGCCAGGAGTTTCTGATATCCTTCCTCTCACGTCTTCCCTCGATGCGATGGCTGCCAGGTGCCGCCAGGAAGCGCTATGGAAGCAGCGGGCCCGGCCGCACCTGGCATGCCTAGGGATTCCTGAAGTTGGAGTGTTTGCCAATCCGATCTGTCGAGGCCACTCAACGTCCTGTAAGTTCTCGAGGTGGCCCTTCCTGCAGGTGCTATTGCTTTGCGGCCTGTCAGAACGACCAGGCAGGCTGTTGTTATGCAAAATGTACTATGCTGTACTAGAATTACCCCAAGGCCCCAAAGTAGTTCCTTTTGGGGGTTCGTACAAAGAATCCTATTAGGTAATCCCCAAAAGGAACTACTTTGGGGCCTATGGGTATGTATATTTATTATGCTTTCACTACAGTTTCCTGGGATCTTGCCAGAGGCCTGCTGCGAGCTGCCGATCGAAGGGCCCGCCACCCGGACTTCCGCTTCGGTCGGCTGCGAATCCCCCGGACCCGGAGACTCCAATATTCTGCAATTAGGGAATATACCTGAAGTTATAGTAGGGATCCTACTACAATACACAGTATATTCCCTAATTATAAGGGATATCGGAGTTCCCTAAACCCTAGACCCCACAGATCCCTTAAAGGAACCCTAATTAAGGGATATTGGAGTCTCTCTAAACTCCGTCCCTCTGAGGTTGGTGCAGGGCGTGGCGACCTGGGCCTTCGTGAAGGCTGGAAATTGGATTTTAAATCGGTTTAGGGTTTAGGGGTTTCGGACTTTAATACTGTTTTGGGGTTCCTTATTGTAATAATAGTGTATAGTTGTGTAATATACCCCAAAACCCTATTGTAATCTTAAGGCCCTTACATTAGTCTTCTGTCCCTCCCTTTCACGTGGGAGGACTCAGTTTTCCACTGCACAAACAGCAATTTTCCAGACGTGCCGTGCAAACTTGTGCAAGTCCTGCACATATGCACTGATTTCGAACAGTGACTTCTGTGTATGCGAGGGCCTGGCTGCCTGCCACCTGAACACGCCTTTGGCCCAGCACAGCAAGGCGCTGGTTCCAGTGGCCGCGCGTAGTCGACGGTACAGTGGTTGTCGTGGGCAGGCCATGGACGGCATCCTGCAGAACCTGCGCAGGAAGTACAGGCGCGGACCGGAGGGACTTCGGGGTCCTGACGAGCGTGTTACATGGCACTGCGGCGCGCAGGTGGATCCAGCAAACACCGGTCATCCAGCTCTCGGCATCAGCTAATGTTCAGGAGCCCGGGGCTTGCGCTCTATTGCTCGTTGCAGAAGTCCTTGTCGGCAGGACCCGCTGATTCTTCCTCAGGGTTGAGCACGGGCAGGGCGCACTGTGAAACACACTAGCGCCAGAGCATCTCCACCACTGTGCCATCTTGGCCAATGTTTCCCCTGAGCAAGTTTCCGTTCGTTCGGACAAGATGGTTCAGGGAGATGTGTAGATGTGTTAACGAACTCAGCAGATTGCATTGCAATGAGTATTGATTGAAAAGGGTACAGCCATCAGACTCCGGCGCAGCATGGGTTATCACGGCACTGTCGAACATCCCGGCCGGCTTACTCAGTATCCCTCTCAAGCACTCTGGAAAGCACAAGAACCTGAGACCCGTCATTTATGTCCAGCAGGGACTGTTTATGTTCGTGAAGAACCAAGAAACTAATCCGCCAGTGGCACCTCACGGAAATTTGCCAAGCGACTCATGAAGGTGCCTAGACTCTGAAGACCTTCATGAAGCTCTTCACAAGCCCCATAGAACCCCTTAGTCTGTTACATGAAGCCTTTCAAGAACTCCACACAGAACCCAACTGATTTCTCAAACCCTAAACCCGAAATCCCTATATAGATTCCTGATAGCACCCATTCAGGAGCCCCTTAAGGAACTTCTTACGGAGTCCTAAACCCTACCCTAACCCTGAATAACCTACCTTTTTAGGGTTCCTTATTATGATTTCCTTATATATGTCCTTAAAAAGGTAGGTCCTTCAGGGTTAAGGTAAACCCTAAATGACCGGCTGGGCACGGAGTGATGAACGCGAGAAGCTGCTCGAGTCGTTGCGCGCAGAGGCCAAAGAGTCCCTTCGAGGCTGGGTCTCTTTTGGGGGGCTTTAGGGTATAAGGTGTTTCCGAAAAATTAGGGGTACCTTATTTAGGGATCCTTATAATAAGGATCCTGCCATTTAATTGGGGTACTATATTAGGGTCCCCTATTTTCGGAAACTCCCATAAGGGGTTTGTGGTTTAGGGGTTTAGGGGTTTGGGTTTAGGGAATTAGAGGTTTGGGGTTTAGTAATTTAGAGCTCGGGGCTGAGAACTTTCAGTTTAAGGGTTTAGGGTAGGGTAGAATACTTCAAGCAATGGACTAGATTGTACGATATTCCACGAGACATATCATGGTGTACATGAGCACATCACAGTACATGCATATGCTATGACTAGCGGCTATGATGTGTCAAGAGTGTCCGGGTTTCCTGCCAAGCCCAGCCAAACCCTAAGAGAACCCACGTACTAAGAGAACCCACGTACATGCTACTCTGGCACGTACGTACGTACATGCACACTACATTGTACTCTTCAGTATTACTATTGTCTTTGATGTTGTCGTTTTTGGTTCCGTTCGCTTTTATGGTTGGACACCTCAGGCAAAAAGAAGAAAAAGGATAAAGAGGAGTCAAAGGGAAAGCCGACAAAGCCTCCCATCCACGTGGATCGGAAGCTGGCCCTCCTTAAGCTGCGAGATGTCGCTTCCACGGGCTTGCGAGAGGTCCTATGGAGCGACGAGGAGGTGACTCGGTGGCTGCTGCTTCAGCTGCTGCCGCTGCGATTGCTGCTACTCCTAGTTCAAGGACGACGACGACTACTACGACTACGGCTACCACGACGACGACGACGGCTACTACTACAACTGCTGCTGTTACCACTACTACCACTACTACTACTACTACTACTACTACTACTACTACTACTACTACTACTACTACTACTACTACTACTACTACTACTACTACTGCCGCGATGCCGACGACTACTAATACGGCCCACTGCTACAGAGGTGTAAAGTGTTTCTATCGGGCTCAAGAGGTTGCATCTGAAGCCCAGGTGCAGAAGGTGCTTCTTTGGTCCTTGGAGGACTGTCTGGTTCTTAGTAGGGAATTGGGCAATGGATCCCTATGATAGTGCCCTCAGGTCCCCTGTAGTAGTCCCAATAAGCCGTTCCCCCACTCCCTACTAAGAACCAGACGGAGGACTCCCAGCCAGAGTTGGCCCAGATTCTCACTTTGGCCGTCTTTGTGCATCTCACCTCATCTGCCCGAAACTGCGAAGCGCTCCTGCTCAGCGAAGAGGCGCGCCTTCGCCCCTCTTTCTATGACCGTATTGCTCAATAGAGTGGGTTGTCACATCGAATCTCTTGGTTTTCCTCCATATCTTGCCGATAGTGTATGCTAAGTATCCACTCGGGGTCTCATCTCCTCATAGTAGGTTCGACTTGGACACACTTTGGCACATCCAGTTAAATCCAGTTCTGCAAGCATCTTTGTTTTTTTGCGTGTCGTTTAGTATGGACAGGTGCGAAGCAGGCTCGTTCGAGTCGTGCAGGAATCTTCCGGCGAAGTCCGAGAGAAGGCTTTGTTGGCTCTCACGGGTCTGGCCGTCGCGTCCTTCCAGAAGGAGGACTTTGAGGACGTGCGGAACCTTCTGGGACAGGCGGCTGGTAGAGGACGTGGAGCTCCGCAGCGGATCGAAGTCTTCCGTGCCCTTTGGAGTGCCGCAGTGGTCTGCGAAAGCCCAGAGCTCTTCTTCGGCAACACCCGTATTTGGGGGAGTCTCTGCGAGAGCATCGAGGCAACGGAGCCAGCTGACGTCCGGGAGAGTGCTTTAGGCTTGCTGGGAGCTTTGACATGGCAGCCGACAGGGCCGCACTTCGTCTGGCACGACGCCGCCTCCAGGGAGCATCTTCTCACCAACACACTCAGATCCCAGCCAAGCACTGTTCGCACCAGAGCGCTCGTAGCTCTCGCAGGATGGGGCAGAAATCGGTAGTCGGTAGACATGCACCTCAAGCAGGTTAAAAGCAATGCGGCTATGAAGACCTGAGTAGTCATTCCGCTGGGGCGGCCGGTGGCTGGCCCAGATATCTCCCCACAGTCCCCGCAGCTCCCAGACCAGGCATTGCTCGAGAGCCTGAGATGCGAGCTCCCATCTGGGCCTACGTCTCCGTGGACCTGACCAGGAAGCTCACCGAGGCTCCGCGGTCTCGAAAGCCACATCGGCGCACCTTTCCCCGGCACTCATGTGGGTATTTGTCAAAATTATGATCCCTTTTTGGGTCCTTATTATAGTACGGCACCAAATATTTAGCGTACCCAAAGAGGGACCATTACTTTGACCTCCTCAGTTGGTCCAGGGCTAAGAACCCCAAGCCCCCCCACCTTCCTCTCTGAGCCCTGGAGGATGACGAGGAGGAAGAGCCCCATGCCTTGAGGAAGCGCACTAGAGCCGGAAGCAAGGCCACTTCGGAGCCCGAGGAGAAAGCCCCGGAGGACGAAGACCGGCCCTCCATGAAAGACAGTCTCCTGGCGGCTGCTTCCCGAACCGAGATCTGCACAGTCCGGTCCCTGGGCCCTTGTTAAGGACTCTATGTTAAGATACCATAATACTGTAGGGATCTACGATAAATGATATGGTTTCCTTATTATGGTAACTTAAGTTAAGAGAGCATAGCAGAGATCAATGATAAATAATTAATCTGGTATCCTTATTATGGTAACTTAAGTTAAGTCCCCTGACAAGAACCCAGGTCCTCGGCCTTGCGCGTCCTGCTGGAAATCTCCTTTGGGGAGGAGTTCATGCTTGAGTTGGTCGAGAGCGGCCTCGCAGAGCCTCAGCAGGCAGTTTACCACTACTTGAGATGGGCTCTTGCATACCACAAATGAATCAAGTATACGGTGATAACCCGGTAATACATTATACTAATATATATATATATATATATATGTATATATGTATACATCGATATCACAGTCTATTCATAGCTCGAGAGCAGGCAGTATAGGGTTCTTGGACTCAGGATTTGTTGCTGGAGGCTTCCCATGACCAGCGGCTGCAGCAGAAAGAGCGCAAGCTCTGCTTGCATGGCCAAAATCGCATTCGCGAGTGGAACGAGGAGCGCTGGCCTCCCTTTTAATTGCCTGCTGATATACAATGTACAGTATATAATAAGTAAAGAATATCAGATACTAATATACTAAAATTAACGCAATGTATTGCGTTGTACCTTACATGATGTATAATGGCATATTCACATAATCAGGCCCGTCTGGCAGAAGAGCTTCGAATCGAGAGGGAGAACGAGTCTCGAGAGCGGCTGGCGATGCGTCTCGAAGAGGAGTACCAGGCACATTACATCTAGCCTTCCATTCCTTGCCCCTGGAAAACCCTAAACCCTAAAACCCTAAAGCCTAAACCGCAAACAGTATAGAGCCGAGATTGCATATCCGCAGCACAGCTGACATCGCCAGGTGGTACTCCGCGAGGCGCCCGAGCCATGGATGCATTTTCAGACGAGGCGTACTTGGAGGTTCATGGGACTTGGTAAGTACAGCTATAAGTACCCTAACTGGGGTTATATCCAACTATAGGTGTAGTTACCTTATTGACAACCATAGTTACTAAGTCCCATGAGCCATTAAGTCGGACGTGGGATTTATACGGCTTACACCAAAGCAGACAAGAGTCGTGGCCATGACACATCTTTAAAGGTGACGGGATATTCGATTGCGATGCAGATGAAGCGACGACACAGAACATGCATAATTCAAAGGGTAGCAGCACATGAAACACGTTCGTTGAAGTACCCTAAGCTGCCGTGCCCTACTAGTTTGGCGGGACTCGACCACGCCTTCCCAGAAAACAAAAACGATAAAGAAAGGGGCATATTAGGGTCCCTAGAGAAGGGGCGAGTTCCGAAGTCCGAGGAGATGAAGCGGGCAGACGAAGAGAGCTACGCCTTCGAGGACCGCCCTTTTGCCTTCTTGGCCTCTGATCATTCTTCAGGGTTGAGGGTTTAGGGACCGGGGGATTTTTAGGGTTCCGGCCTTGAAGAGTCTGCTCGCTGTCGTCAGGAGTGGTCCAAGGCGCAGATTGAGATACAGGCCATGGCCAAGGAGGATGAGTCCTCTGCAGCAATGAACAAACATCTCAAGCCACCCGGCTGTCTCGAAAGAGGTTTGATCAGCTTTCCAATTCCTGTCCTTCCGAGGTTTCTGCTCAGCATGAACCGCGAGCGCATGGAGCAGGAAGATGAGCTGTCTCTTCAGTTTCGGCAGCAGGACCCGCTCGCAGTACTTCGTGCATGCTTGTAAAGTGGTGTAGTGTGATTGTTTTCCCTCAGGAAGAGAAGCGGGTCTTTGCCTCCAAAGTGGCCTCTGCTCGGGAGCGTGCGGCAGAAGCAGCGAAGGTTGCCGCCGGGGCCATGAAGCGGGCTACCGGCCTGCAATCGAAAGCAGGCACAGTTATGACAGAGTTAAGAAGTAATTATTAGAAGAAGAAGAAGAAGCAGAAGCAGCAGGACCCCCCCCCTCCCTGCTTTCTTCGCAACAAATCCGAGGTCGGTGGCGATGCGATTCTCCAAGCCCGAGATGCTGGGGAGGCCGCCGGTGCGGCGGCTGCGAAGCTTGGCATGGGGCCTTTGATTCAAGCGGCCTTTGCTGGCGCGCAAGCAGCTGCGGCAGCGAGTGTGAAGCAGAAGCAACCACTTACGCGATCCGAGCAGCTGGAGGAAGCCAACAAGGCAGCCATGGTCGTCGCAGACCGTTGTGACATGACGGAGGAGGAGAGGGAGCTCATCGATGAAGCTACTATCGCCGCCAAAGAAGCGGCAAGCGTTGATGAGCAAAGCGACATCGCAACGTGTTTCGCAGTCGCCGTGGCATGCCGGTTGAGTCTCACTGAAGAAGCCCAAAGCGCTGTCACAGGCTCGCGCTGGAGTGGGTGCAGGGATTGGAAAAGGGCAGCATGTGCAAGCTTTTTGTGCCCTGCAGGTGGTGCAACTGCAGTGGCTGCAGACCGTCACTTGACATGCACTAGCTTCCAGGATGTCCTCGGCTTTAACATATGTAGTATGCAAAATAGTGCATACACTATACTATACAACATACATTGTAAAATAACTATATATATATATATATGTATGGCATATGTATGTATATATAAATATACTCTATATAGATAGGTAGATGGATAAATAAGTATCTATCTATATGCATATATGTATGTAACATATATATATATATATACATATATATATATATATATATGTGACACGCTCGCATCCTTCAACTGTGTTTTGAGCACGATCAAGGACCTGATGGCTATCCGTGACAGCGGCGATGCTTTGCTGGAGCGTCATTTGAGACGATTCCCAGGAATGTGCAAAGCACAGATAGGAGCATCGAAGGCTCATGCACGAGGGATTTCACATCGGAAAAGAAACCGAGAGCATGTGAGCAGTGCGGCTGTCGATCGCCGATGTTCGAGAGCAATTTTCTTGGGCCAAGGCATGGAGGGTCTTGAGGGATTCACCGTGCTGTTGGCAGAGATGAAGGGCCGGCTGATTCTCTGCGGAGTCAGACACTGTCAAGCAGCTTACATCCTTCAGCGTGAAGCCGTGGAAGTGTCGAACATTACACATGAACGGAGACGCAGGCGATTCTATTTGCGTGCCCCACACACACACACATGTTGACATGGCATACATCTCTGTGTGTGTGCACAAGTTTTGTGGATTCTCAGTGGAGTTCTCGAAGGAGTCTTTGTCAGGCTTTTTCGCTGAGGCTTCAAGTCTAAACATGCGAGATGTCTAAGTCAGTGCTACTGTAAGTCATTGTTTCAAGCTGCTCCAGAATTGTCAGTCGGCTTCGGTCGTTAAAAGCGCGGATCTAATGAATGGACTTGCAGTCGTGACCGTGGCCGGTGGTCCTCACGCTCCACACCATCCTCCCATGCGCTAAATGAGGCGAGACTTCACTCTTGGACAAACAGAGGTGGCGACTGACACGCAATTTGGAGCCGTGCTGCTTCCAGAGTTGAGCAACTTAACAGAGAGCCAACGCCGGCAGCTCAAGAACACCTGCCCTCATTACAGCTTCGAATATGTGAAAGGCAGCAGTCACGGACAAACGCTGAGAAGCACGGCCGTCTACAACGTATCTTCCGAGTGGCAGCTAAGTCCCCAATGCGACTCGGATTCGTGTCTCTTTGGTCTCGCTTTCCGTGTCACTGACCTGCTGCAGTGAAGCTATGGGTCCAAGCCCTTGAACACGGCAACATGGAACTTGTAGGGCATCATGGCCTAGGAAGCACATGCTCGTCCTGACTTGCCCCCGGCTTACGCAACAGACTCAACATTCAGATCGTGGACAGTCATACACGAGTCATACCCAACTGCAAGAGCTTATCATCGTTTCCCGAAGCAGTTCGGTCATGGGCATGTGGAGATGCTGCTCAAGAAGCGACGGGTTAGCAAACCTGTGGAACCGCCCTCGCCAGAGCCGGTGATAGCGGATCCGGTGATATGTGTCGACGACCTGGAAGAGACACCACCATCCCCAGGCACAGCAAATAGCATACCTCAGGCGCAGCTTCCCCAGAAGCTGCCCAAGGCTAAACAAGCCGTAAAGCAAGCAGTTCCAAAGCATGCACCTGCGCAGCCGGGGGGGCCGCAGGGAGAGCAGGCAGAGCCAAAGCAGCCTGCAAAGCCGGAGCCCGAAGAGCCCAGCAAGACTGGGCCGCCCGGGCCGCCCGGGCCTGCAAAGGATGCCGATGCAAAGCATGCAGCGATGGCTGCGGTTACCGCCAAGAGGAAAGCGCCCAGTGAGATGCCAGCAATGGACACGAGGCGTTCGAGCTTGGCCGGCTTGGTGAAATTGCTTGGTGAAGCAGCGCCACAAGTGCCAGCACCCACAAGGGAGCCACCAGCATCCAACTCACGGAACTCCAGCTTAGCCCGCTTTTTTGGTGAGGCGGAAATTTTCCCGGATGAAGGACGCCGTTGCTCCAAAAGCAGGTGATTGCCGTAGTAGTACCAGCACGCATGTTCTACAGTATAGGGCTTCAATGGCCTTTTGTTTGTGACGCTTTGAAAGGACCGCCGGCAGTGCGGGTGGATGATGCCAATGCAGCTGCGGCGGCGCAAGCTCCAATGGCTCCCATAACCTCAGGGGGGACCTCCGCGCAAGGCAGCGACACCCTGAAAGAGCACTTTGGAAGCATGCAGGGAATCGCTCTGAGCCGTGTGATCAGTTGGGCTTTGGTCGCTAAGGTTGCTATCGCTGGTTGCGAAGTCGCCACAGGCGGCCCAGAACGCGGATTCGGATGATGGACCAAAGTGGCAAGCAGCCAAACGAGCCCAATTGTTGTGCCTGGAACTGCAAGACTTCAAGTCCTTCAAGCGCAAGAAGATCAACCTTGAAGGTGAATCAGTCCGGTGTCTCGTGGGATGCAACTCGAGTGGCAAATCTGCCATCCTGGATGCTCTTCGCTTCCTCCTCGGGAGACGCTGCGACCGTGGTTTGCGCAGCTTCATCCGCAGAGGGAAGCGAGATGCCGCCACGTACGCGAGGGTGACAGCCAAGTTCCGCGTGGAACGACCGGCTAATGGACAAGGCTCGCTTCTCCGTAGACTTGGGGAAGGGCTTTCAGTAGCTCTCTTAGGGCTGCTGGGCGATGTCCTCTTTGAGCAGGCACCGTGACGCTGATGCGAGAAGTCCGTGAGCATCCGGACTCGGCGGACAAAGAGGCATACATCACCTCGAATTGGGTTTCTCAGGAGGCCGAGGAGCTTGTAGAGATCTCAGAAGCGGGATACCAGGCATGGCTATCGCAGGCTCTCCTGCGCCTTTGATGAATGAGTTTCATTGAAGAATATACAACGCTGTAGCGAGCTTCTACATTTGCCGTACGTACCTGCCGGCACCAAGGGCATCCGATGGGGATCTCCTAGTCCCACAGTTTGGTCTGATGGACAGCCGGAGTGCGACTGTTCTTCTGGCCATGATTCCGGCTGAGCTGGAGAAAGTCGGCGCCGAAGCTTAGCTGGAATCAGCCATTGTGACCTTTACATTGTCTAGCAAATCACTTGTGTGAAGCTTCATGCATCGAATTTTTGTGAATCCAAGGCTATCCAGGCTTCCGGACCCTTGCTGAAGCGCAAGTCCGCCAAGACGGCCAGGTCAGGTTTTTTTGTAAGGGTCCGTATGAATTCTGTATGAAAGAGGTTGTCATAGCCTCTCCAGGACGGCTCCTGGTGTGCAAGCCGGTGTCCTGCGTGCCGAAGCCTGGCTGTCACGGCGTGTGGACGAGATCTACAGGCAGCTGACACGC